AATATGTTGAGGGTTGTATTCATGCATAAAAAGTGACATTATGACTGTTGTGTCGATATGTTGAGGGTTGTATTCATGGATAAAGAGTGACATTATGACTGTTGTGTCGATATGTTGAGGGTTGTATTCATGGATAAAACGTGACATTATGACTGTTGTGTCAATATGTTGAGGGTTGTATTCATGGATAAAACGTGACATTATGACTGTTGTGTCAATATGTTGAGGGTTGTATTCATGGATAAAAAGTGGCATTAAGACTGTTGTGTCGATACGTTGAGGGTTGTATTCATGGATAAAAAGTGACATTATGACTGTTGTGTCAATATGTTGAGGGTTGTATTCACGGATAAAAAGTGACATTATGACTGTTGTGTCAATATGTTGAGGGCTGTATTCACGGATTAAAAGTGACATTATGACTGTTGTGTCAATATGTTGAGGGCGGTATTCACGGATAAAAAGTGACATTATGACTGTTGTGTCGATATGTTGAGGGTTGTATTCACGGATAAAAATTTAATCATCCAACAATAAATCGGAACACGTTAAGAAAATGAACCAATAACAATAATTGTAATGTTCTACTCATTGCTAAGTCTTCTGTCCAGGTGAGTACACCTGTTCTTTGACCTCATAATGTATATATTTCACTGTTTGTGGACAAAAGAGCAGCTCAATCCGTTACAAAGCCTTTATGATGAAAGAATCGTGTTTATTGGAAACCTAATGCTATTTCATCAGAGACCCAGTTTTTGTAATTTGTAGATTGTGACTAACACCTATCCTAATATTATCAGCTTTGTTTATCGTCTTTTTGTTTTTTAAATTATACCCAGACTTTGACTAATGCCTATTTCAATACTGTTAGTGTAACCAAATCTTGGCTAGCGTTACTTAAATACTAATAGTTTTGCAAAACTTGAATTGTCACTAATTATTACCAAACTTAATACCACTATAGTTTTTTTACGAGTTCGATCATATTCAGTGTATAATTTCTTATTCCGATAATTGTTTGGCAAAGTATTTTTATCGCTGCTTTGTTTGATGTGTTAGTGTCTGATGTACGAGATTAATGTAGCGAAAGAAATGTGTCCTTGCTAACGTTAGTTAAACAATGAAGTTTGTTTTTACAAGTTTCAATATTTCCTGTATAAGTTCTTCTTACAGGTATACGTGACCTTTTTTGCAATCTATGGGAAGAGGTTAGGCTACCTACTCAAGAACTAGGTCAATGCAGATGTAGGCAAGCATTTTCTATTTTGCTAGTGAGAGTAACCTAGTTTTACACGCCATGTTAGGCTTACCAGAAATGCATACAAAGTTTGATAATCAAAGGGAGAATGATAAGAGAAAACAAACAGAAAGAAGGAAAAGTTTCTCCTTTTTTTTTAATATTCAGGGAAATGAAAGGGGAGGGGGCTTTTTTTTCAAATAAAATCCAATAACTTAATATAATTCCAATTATTTAGATAAACTATACCAGTATTAAACTTTAATTCTTCTTGAACCCACCGTGACTCGGTCGGGATCAGAACGCTGATTTCTGGTTTATTGTTAAGTTTATGTGTCTCTAACGAAATAAAAACAAAAGGAACGAGAGTATTAATTTTAATGATTTAAGAACTAACTGGTAACGAGAGTTGTTGTACGTCTAATATTAGCATTATAAAATGTTGATAAACTTAAGCTACTTTTTATAAATACCATTTAAGAGATCTGTAATCTGCATAGAAAGACAAGTACTTCTGCCACAGTTGTATTAGCTTGCTATAAGTATGCTAAGTTTGAATCAACCCTAACATATTCATATCCATACTACAGTTTCCAACTTAAAAGCAATTATCAAATATAATCATCCCTGGCACCCCTTACCTTTTGGTTAATCCGCCATTGGTCGCAGTGTCTCTAACTGGTTAGTACTACCGACCACTTTTGGTAGTACAACCGACTACTTCTGTTAGTACCACCGACTATTTCTGTTAGTACTACCGACCACTTTTACTATTACTACCAACCACTTCTGTTCATACCACCGATTACTTCTGTTAGTACCACCGACTATTTCTGTTAGTACCACCGACTACATCTGTTAATACTACCGACCACTTTTGTTAGTACTACCGACCACTTTTGTTAGTACAACCGACTACTTCTGTCAGTACTACTGACTACATCTGTTAATACTACCGACTACATCTGTTAATACTACCGACTACTTTTGTTAGTACTACGGACCACTTTTGTTAGTACCACCGACTACTTCTGTCAGTACTACCGACTACTTCTGTCAGTACTACCGACTACGTCTGTTAGATTTCAACGTTCTTGGAGAAAAACAGTTTGCTGTGAAACACGTGTACCCTACGATTATGTGAACATATTGACTTACTTACAACAAGTTTTAAAGTTCTTCTTTAGGGATATCTTTACATAGTTTAATTTAACACCAGCCTGAAAAGTATGACCCCAAAAATCCCTTAACAATCGTGATGAAGATATTTTTTCTTTTGTTATCAAAACGAAACAAGTTGATGTCACATATTAAAGACGAGTTTGTATTTGATTGTTATTATAAGTACATTTCCAGTCCAACTGTTGACCTCGATACAAGGCACGTGCCTGCAATTATTGTGAAGCAAAAAATTTTTAAAAAGCAGATATCAGGTTTAGCCACTAAAATTTAACACACGAGCCGCGTGTATTTCTATGCAGAAACCAATAATAGAATTAAATTGTCATCTGTTAGAACAACATTGTAGAAAACCATTTCATGTCGTAATATGTAGTTAGTGTCTTATATTGTCGTTATTTTTGTTGTGAAAAGCTACACAGTGGTGTAACTGCCCTCCATTCACTGCGGGGAATCGAATCTCGAACTTAAAACGATGTAAGTTCGCAAACTTACCACTGTCCCACCGGGGCAAGTGTATTTAATGCCGTTTACTGTCGTTGTATAGTGTTATAGTATTATTATACGATTTTATAATATTACAGTGTTGTGGTATAGTTTAATAGTGTTATAGTATTATTATACGATTTTATAATATTACAGTGTTGTGGTATAGTATAATAGTGTTATAGTATTATTATACAATTTTATAATATTACAGTGTTGTGGTATACCGTATAGTCTTATTGTGTTACACTATTGTGATAGTAATGTATAGTCTTATTGTGTTACAGTGTTGTGGTATACAGTATAGTCTTATTGTGTTACAGTATTGTGATAGTAATGTATAGTCTTATTGTGTTACACTATTGTGATAGTAATGTATAGTTTTATTGTGTTACACTATTGTGATAGTCGTATAATGGCACTGGAATATTATGGTACTGTGTTAATGCAAAGCGGTCGCTAGGGGGTGCTGGGATGGACATCCCCAAATTTCACTCTGGTCTACTCAAGTTCATTCTCCCCTAGCGATTTATAACAATCATATTATCAATTAAACAACAAATTGTATTATTATTATTTTCTAAATAGCCTTATAGTTATCGTCATCTATTGCCTCTCCTTTCTTCCCCAAGGATAAGGAGTTTGAACCGAGCTCGTTGTAGTATAGTGTTCTAATATTGTGTGCTAGCCTTATCTAAGTGTTTGGCTGTAACTGGACCAAGTCCTGAGGTCTGTAGAAAAACAAACAATCTTCTATATATATACAGATATATGCCGGGTTTGGCTGTACATTGAAACAGGTTTTAGTACTGTACTGTTCACTCAAGGTCATTCAACTGAACACTGGTCTAACCTACTTCTGAGAATTCAACAACCTGCGCCAAGTTTTCCTCAAATATACATTGTACGAACATTTCAGAACTAGCATTCACTTTTACATTTCTTGTATATAAAAAATGAACAAATCGGTACTGTTCGCGCTTTGACTTTTAAGTCATGTTTGAGCCTTTTTGGATACGCTATAAAGTTCAGTGCCTTCCTTCAATGGTAATCTTTATCAACCAATCAAAATAACGTTTCTAGTAAATATCTAATAATATATTTTCTTACTTGTTTACTTTTCTCATTTCCAAAGCTGGATATTTTCAAGCTAAATCTAAGAAAATAGTTTCTCCGTTAATCGGCGCTGTGGCTGTGGGTTATCTTGGTTTTTATGTGGCCAAATATTTGTAAGGATGATGTTATTATTTTGAACAGTGGCTGATAGGACAATAAGGTATCATAAATTAATACAAGTCCTCCCCTTCGTAAATGTGAATTTTTTTTTCTCTAACCGCTTGAAAAACATTTTATTGAGTTATTAGTTAAGCTTATGCACTCAACACACACACACACATATATATGTGTGTATTATGAACCAGAATTCAACTAACCCTAATGTGAATTTTATAAATTTCTGTTACTTCTTTTCGCTAAGTCTAAGTGGTTTAACCGAAAATTAAGTTATGAACTTATTTATTTTCTTTTATATATATATATTTTGTTCTTGTTGTTTGTTCCAGATGGTTCCTAGTTGACCTTAGGATAATCCCGTCGACTCTCCAACATACATGAAGCGATATTTTGTCCAGAAGAACGGTGACAGCCAGTAGGAACTTTAATTTGTGATTTTATATTTTCAAATACGTCTAATTACGACAACAATGGAACTCTACAAAAGTGTTTGGAAGAGTGAGAGGCCAAGTGGCCGATGTACCTCTTTGTTTTCCAGCAAGACTGAGAGGCCCGATGGCCGATATGCTACTGTGTCTTACAGCAAGCCTGAGAGGACAAGTGACCGATGTACCTCTGTGTTTTCCAGCAAGACAGAGAGACCAGGTGGCCGATACGCCACTATTTCTTTCAGCGCAACTGAGAGGCTGGGTAGTCGAGGTGCCACGATGTCTTCCAACGAGACATCGTCTTATCTGTCAGCTGTAAAATGGGGAGATGATAGCTATTACCTTAAAGAATTCACTGAACAATTTCCTCTTCCACAAGTGGCCAAGATTGTCAAGGGTCAGTATCTAAACCTCGGACTTTCAACTCTTCCTTCCCCAAATCCAAATAACACGGTATTTTTAGTGACCGGTGGAAAACGAATCAAAGTAGCCGCTCAGTGTGTGAAATTCAAAGATAAGCGGCGAGTAATCATTGTGGGGCCGAAATTGGCCATCCCAGACAACTATGACGGATGGTTTGAGATTTTGTCCGAAGATGGCCAACCGGTCAGGTGTCTAGAAAACGTGGCGGAACTAGCCAAACGCTTTCCTTCCATGTGCCTAGTTAGGGAAAATATTAAAGTGTTTACTTCGAAAAGTGACGACCCCGAAAACGTTAGCGATAAAACAAAAACTCTTCAGGCTGGGGAAATTATACGTCTTATCAAGGAAGTGTTAGCTGCCCCCCTCAGAGGCAAAGCCCCTGGACGCTTTTTGCGCTGTTTGACCTCAAGGAAAGAGACCGTTTATCTGAGTATTGAACAGAAGGGGAAGTTCAGTCCAGTGGCTGGTGAAGACAATATTTCTGGTGTCCACAGAATCAAAACCATTTTAAGTAAACGCTTACCATTAATGGTGCGATTAGTTCACGGGAAGCCTCCTACTGGCCTAAAAACGAGTTTCAGGTTCCTACCCGAAATGCGTCTATATTCAATGTTTGAAGAGGAGTGTGTTTTGGCTCTTCCGCTCCAAAAGGATTTTGCTATGGTACCGTTACCTCTAACGGCACCTTTGAAACTGCTAGGTCCTCAAAATGTCGAAACTCTCATGAAACTTCGAGAATATGCGAATCTTTGTCAGAAGTGCAAGGAAATGGTACGAGCTGTTTCAGATAAAATCCAGGTGTTTGATATCATAATGAGTAAAGAGTTTCGAAATAAGACCAGAACCTATCCTAGCAGAGATTCTCTTAAAAAAAACAGTCACGTTTCTCAGGTTAGACGTAATCTATCAGACCCCCAGGAACAGGGAGAAGCGAAGACGACCATGAATTTGGAGAGAGAATTCTCAGCACCAGGTAAAATTCCCCAGCAACGGCACAAGAAAGGGGTGGACACTGACGACTATGATGAAATAGACAAAATCTACGAAAGTGTCCGAGGGTTCTTTTCACTTCCTGAAATGATAAAAACCAAATTTTCAACTAGTGGGAGCCATTCCAACCTGGAAACCTCATCCACTTTCTTTTCCCCTGTTCCACCTTCTTCCTTGGTTGTTACTGAAGAGGATCCTCGAGAACAAGGTGAAAAACCGGAGCCCCCACCAATTCAAACTATTCCTCCCTTAAAAACACCCAGTAAGACAGAGCTCACAAATCAAACAGCCCAGAAGATAATTATTAGCATTGTTAACAAACAATCCCATCAACTTAAAGGAGACTTATTAAGAAGCATGGACATTTACTCTTCGGAAGACCACATATACGAGAGAATTGACGAGATAAAAGGAACTATTGGTAGCTTCCAGAACAAAAGAAAAGCCCCTGTACGCTCTTATAGTGCTGGAATGATTAACGTTCCCGGCGAACATCAAAATAATAACTTTACAATTAGAAATGGTCCTCATCATGGAGAGGTTCCCAAGAAGCGATTACTGAAGTATTCTAATAGTTATTCAATTCCTTTCCAAAGAAGCCGTGGCATCAAGACTTGTATTTTAAACAAATCGGTCACAATGCCATCCCTCTTCAACACCCGCTATAAGTCACTGACTAATCTCGATCCGGAGTTCAGAAATACTCTCGCTTCCAGCAACTTCAATGACCTAACATCGTCTTACTGTAAAGAGACAACTAAAGGACAGCACCGAGATCACAAGTCTTTCCTGAAAAGACAACTGTGTGAACAATTATAACCTAGTGAAAAAGAACCAAACAGATATCTGTGTTATCAAGAAAGCTTAGAGGTTAAGTCAGTGAAAGATAAAGCTTAGAGGTTAAGTCTTTCCCTTTGAGTCAGCATGAGTTCATGTAATATTGTTAATGTCAATTAAAAGTGTCCGAAGAGCAGCTACTAGAGACTGGTTATACATCCTGAATTATAACTGACAGTACATTTCCAAATACCAGAACCATTATGTGGTATAGATAAAGTCAATTCGTGATAACCTAACTTGAGGGAGCGGGGTGGGTACATTTTAAGGTTTTTTGTAAAAACTAGATTTTTGATGAATTTATAATTTCAGAACTTCATGTAAGGTTTGTACTTGCAGATAAAAAAATATCTAGTAGTTCTGTTAAAAAAGAACGTTTAAAACTTCTATTTTATTCCATCGTGTCTCACTCGTAAACTTAGGACTTATATCGATTAAAACTTTTGTTTTAGTCCACCGTGGCTCACTCGTAAACTTAGGGCTTATATCGTTTAAAAATTATATTTTAGTCCACCGTGGCTCACTCGTAAACTGAGGGCTTATATCGTTTAAAACTTATATTTTAGTCCACCGTGGCTCACTCGTAAACTTAGGGCTTATATCGTTTAAAACTTATATTTTAGTCCACCGTAGCTCACTCGTAAACTTAGGGCTTATATCGTTTAAAACTTATATTTTAGTCCACCGTAGCTCACTCGTAA